TGAACCTGGGTCACACTGAGGTGCGTCAGGGTAGCTGTGATCCTGAGCCAGCCCCACATGTCTGGTGAGGAGGGACCCTGGGGTGGACAGTGGCACTGGTGCTGAGGGGAAGTGTGCCAGTGACTCTGCCCTTGGTGTGGCAGAAGTGGATGCTGCAGGCTTGGAAAGGACACTTTGACCACTATACTGCAGGGTCATGGTGTGGTTGGGAGGCTGCCTGTCCCAGGACCTGCTGTAACCCCTTGGTTCAGCCCCACCAGAGAGGGGTGTTGTGTGTTGATGCGTTGGATGATGACTGGATGGCAGGCAGGTGTGGAGCTGGAGGCTTACATGAGGTCTGGGCTCTGCTTGGTGTGCCTGGGCTGGTGGGGCTTTCCTTGGCCCCAGGGCTCTCCATTCGCTTTTGCTTGGAGATGGGAACAGGGGTGGTGCTGAGGCTTGCTCTGTCCATCTGTCTAATGAAGATAATCTCTGACACCTGGCCTGGTGAACAGGGACAAGATGTTGACCTCTGTGCGCCCTATGGGAAGGAATAATCTCAAGCCCAATGGGCCAAATGTTGCCCCGGTGGTAGGGCAGGATGGTAGAACATAGATATGAGATCCTGCCTACAGCCTTGCCTTGATGTGCCCAGTGGTTGCTGGAGTGGCTTTCTCTAGATGACAGTCACATGGGACTGCATGTGCTGGCCTTGCACAACCTTGCTGGATCTCCTTGATCACTGAGCCCAGGCTTACCTGGCTGCCGACTGTGGTTGCTGGAAACCCAAGGACTCAGTAGGGCGGTCTTACCCATGTGGAGGATCTCCAGCCCTGCTCCGTAGCCAGCCCAGAAGAGGCTATGGAAATGTTGTGCCTTCTACTTTGGGATGGTGCATTCCCTCCTGCACTGCCAAGGATGTGGTGATGGGTTCTTGCATAAGTGTGGGGTTGGGTCTTGTTACGTGGCTGTGTGTCAGAAGCTGTTGGCCTGGGGATGTGTGTCCCTCCCATCTGCTTTCAAGGGTAGGAGGCCAGCCTGAAAGGGTGACTCCCCTGGGTCACCTATAGCAGTGGCTGGATGTGTGGAACAAGCTATGGACTCAGAGAGAGCACCCAGCTCCTCTGCAAGGTACTAGAGGAGGG